TCGTTTTGTGCCGTTTGGTCTAGTTTGTGGGCGTATATGCAATTCTTTGGGGGGGATAAGGTCGAGGTGAAGTTCGAAATAGATAGCAAGGGGCTGAAGCACTGACTGCTAGATAGAATATATGTCATGTATGTACTTTATAGACTCCAAAGTTGAAGGATAGACTAGAAGAAGCCAAAAACCCGCACACCCAAATGATCTCATATAACCATATAGCTATCCTGATACCATACCCTTTAATTTGCTTCGTACCAGCCCACCAGTGGTAATACCCCTCTGGCCCTCATCAGCCCTTCTACAAATCAACCTCCGTTACTAAAACCACCCCCTCCTCTTCTTCTCACCTAATGCCGCAATGCTCCTTCCTTTCCCACCGAAAACCCTTTGCCAAACTGACTTCTTCACCACCACTTTCCCAGTAAAATACCCAACCCCGGCCGTCATAAATATCTTCTGAACTACCCCGGCTACCGCGAATACGTCCCATACCGCCCCCGCAGCGCCTTTAAACGTAGTCGGTACCATTTTTGGCCGAGGAGGTAGCTTGGGCAGTACTGGAGTCGGCACATTCTTTGTTTTGCTACAAAATAGTATATTAGTCTTCATCTTCGTGCTGAAGCGGCCGTATCAAGGTATCAAAATACCACATACCTCGCCTTCACCCCAATCCGCTCCCACAAACCAAACAACTTCCACCCCATCCCCAACCCCAGCAACAAAACTGCAATCAAAATCATGAAAACGGCCGCACTAATCCAAAACAGCCGCTCCAGTCTTTCTCTATCATCTTCTTTATAACCTAGTACCTCTTCAATCGTGTATCCCTCTCGACCATCCCGTCCGTTTGCCCGCATGCGGTCTAGGCGGCCGTAGAGCTCTTCTGGGTCGTAGATGGTGTCGACCTGGGGTTCGTATGTTTCGAAGTCGTCTTCTTGTTTTATCTTTACTCTGTCTTTTATGTAGGAAGGGTTGGATTGGTAGATTGTATTGCGGAGGGGTTTGATGGAGCGGGTGGCTGGGTATACCGCCCAGCGGTTTAGAAGCTCTTCGTCATCTTCGCTGGGGGTTGGAGATTGCTCCATGGTGGAAGAGAGGCGGTTTATAGAATTGCGGCTCTCCTCAGTCGAGGCGGTGGGGTTTGATGATGCGAGAACGGTGGGTTCCGTATCAGTTTCTCCGTCTTCTGTGTCGTCCGCTTCCAATATATCGCCGTCTTCATCTCTCTCACGGATTTGTGGAGTTTTTGTATCCTTATGGGTAGATTTATCCCGCGAGTCATAGTCATTTTTCTCCACCGGTGGCTCCGGCCATTCCCCATCTATTGGCGGTAGTAGAACGCAGAACGGGTATAACTCCTCCTCCTTCGGCTTCTTCGGCCGCAATTCCCTTCGTGATGTCGGTGCAGTGGTATTTTTATCGTTATTACCCTGGGGCCTCTTCCTACGGTTTGCGGCTCTTAGTGCTGCTTCTGGATCCATGGGTTCTTGCTTCTTTGTATTTTTATACTTTGGGTAGATGAATTATCGTTAGTTTTTCCTCCGGTTTTGTGATTATTCCTACTTCGTGGGGATTATCCCTAGAACCCGATTAATTATTTTTTTCAAAATGTTAAGTTACGAACTAACAAAGTTCGAGGATCTCAAGTTCGCAGCATGTATATCATCAGTAGCGCCTAGTAATCCGAATGAACCGTTCATTCTATTAATTCGTTTCATGATGCCATAAACGAAGGCAAAGGGGTTTTTTGCATATTGTGTCGTGTCTACCATATTATACAAGAACGTAAACAAAAACTATCATTCAGGGAAAAAAGAAGGGGTAAAACACCCAAAGTGAGCCTCAAAAAAAAAAAAGTCCATACCCCATGAATAATCCTCAAAGAAATAACACCGTGCTCGAGAGAGATGGATGTACTAGTGTGTGTGGTTGGTATCGAGCAGAAGGATGAAGCTAATTCCTTCTCGGCCCAACAGTCGGATTCAAGAATTCCTGTTGCTTCTTTTGAATAGCACTGATCTGGTCGGTCATGCTGACAGACTGAAGCTGTTGCAATCTCACCGACTCCCTGCTGTCGGCGTGACCATCCCATGCTATAACCGGCTTCTTCCTTCTCTCGTCCCCTTCATCTACAGTACCAGGCTGGACATCGAATAAATCGGAGCGCTGGCTGGCTAATCGTTTCAGGTTTGCAGCGACATCTGCGGTGGAAAGGTTTGTCGTCGAGTACTTGGCTTCCGCGCGGGCTCTTTGTTCTTTCCAACGGGGATCCAAAAGTTCAACTATAGCGCACGAACAAAGAATTAGCAACAGTCCGGCAGTCTGGTTTACGAGACAACGCACGCACTAAAAAAAACCAATAACGGTAAAAACGGGGGAAACTCACTTCTCATATGCTGCTCCAGCTCATCCAGCGGAATAAGCTGTTTACAGTTCGGACAGATAGTAGTCTGTGCCGCACCACGTCTATTCGCAGCAGCTGTAGCAGCGCGGGGTACATAATCGCTCCTAATCTTCATAGGAGCTGTGCCTCCCTGTGCTTCGGCTCTAGCTTGTTCAGCGCGGGCCTGTGCCTCTCTTCTCTCGCGTATTCTCGCCATCTCCTCGTCCTCATTGTCGGAATCAGGTTCCATAGCCACATCCATAGTCTCCTCATCGTCTTCCTCTTGGATTGGTTCTGGAATGTATGTTCCAGAATCATAATCCTCGCCTGTCGGCATGGCTTCCTCGATACGAAGCTGGTTGCTGTTCAGGGACATCAAAGCCTTTTGCTCCAAGGAAGCATGTTGGAGGTCAGAGAGTGAGGTTGGGGGAGGTAGGTCGGCGTGATCGTCGGCTTCTGTGAAAGTGATGGTCTCAACGACAGCGAAGTCGTGCCAGTCGATTTGCGCATACGCCAATTTCTCCTTGTCTTCCTCTTCCTCTTGCTTCTTCTTCTCCTCCGCTTGATGCTTCACCCATTCCGACCTCTGCTTCGCGGCATCTATCAAGTGGAATCTGTCCCCGAAGTTCTTGCTGAGCTGTTCCATCCGCTCTTCTTTATCGGTGGGGCTAAGAATAAGGGTGTATTGGTCGACGAGGCGGGTGAAATACTGGTAAAATGAGTGATTGGGCCGCAGGAAATCGAATTGGTAATTGCGCGCCTCGCGCTGGGATAGAGTAGTCATGAACTGCCTGCCATTTTTCGCAACAAACAGTGCGGTCAATCGCAATACATCCCTACAGCCCCACAAATTAGCTCCGCTCAACGTCCCCCACAGTGAAAATTTGATATGGAAGAACTCACAAATCTTGCGCGCTGATAGCTGGCATTCTCGCCGAGAACTGGAATTCGGGTGGTGGAGCCGGTCCAGGCGGCGCTTCGGGTTCTGCGGCGGGGGCTGCGCTAGCATCAGTACGACCGGCCGCGACGGCGGTTGATCTTCCCGCACGCGTTTCTTCGAGGCGCCATACGTAGAACGGATTATACGGGTCCCCGGGGGTCAAGAATGAGAATTTGGGGTTCGTTCGCTCCTTATCGCGGATACGCACTAAACATTGCGGTCCACAGGTTAGAATCATTGCGGGGAGGTTTGGTGAGCTCCCCAGGAAGGGGGGTGGAGGGGGGCGTGGAAGAACGTACTTTCGAAAGCTTCGCCATTTCGAGCGACGTACCCCGCGGTTTTCTCAACAATAGCTATTATGAACAGACCGGGCGTTAGTATAAAGTTCCTTCAGCCTAATATGAAACTATCAGACACACGGGCGATGGAAGATAGAAAGGTGGTTCATGAAAACAACGTACCTCGAATCTCCTTGGGCGGTAACACGACGCCTGCTGGAGCTTTTGCCGCCTCCTCGTTGGAGACAATCGTGATCGGAGGGGGGATATCTGCGGCGGAAGGGGCCATTTTGTCTGATGGGGGGAGTATCGTAATGACGGCGGCGGATAGTTTTGGCGACGGCAATTGTGCAGTCGACGAAGTGTGAAGATGTAAGTTTGGGAAGACGTGATGTGTAGGAAACGATGACCCTTGTCCACCATTTCGAGACTTTGCCAAGCCTCCGCGCGATTGGCCGAACACAAATGACGGCAACGCACGAAATGCAACAATGTCGCTTCATGCCTCAATACCAGTTCTCGGGCATGACGCTGCGTATATCGTATCGAATCTAGTATTGTTAATATATATTGGCTCGCTATACTATAATATGCCTTTGCTGCCTGGTAGCTTGCTAAATCCAGGCTCCAGTCTGTCCAGATGCACTATAAACCACATTCTCTGCAATACTTATCAAGTATTCGGGCTCTCGAATCGAGTGTTCACACACAATTTCGAGCCTTCGAGGGTACAATAATTTTAGTTAAGAAACTGCTTACATTAGTCTATAATAAAAATTCTCGAGAAACCCCGGCCCCACAAATACGCACCACATTCAACTCAGTCACAGAATGTCCACACACAGCCGACTCATACATCCCCTCACATCTAGACTCGTACCCAGGCGCCCAGGCCCTATTCTTTATCGATAGCCTTACTCGGAGACAGATTCCATCGTACTCAGAGCTGGAGGGCAATCAAAGATCGTCCAGGGCCAGTATTAGATTATACAGCATAATTCAAAACACCGCAATATAATAGGCTTTAATACTCGCTTGGTTAATTCTATACCCCAAAGCAAAATGACAATATTCAAGTACAATTAAATTCTACAAGGTGGGGCTTTATGTATACCTAAACGTCTTCGTCGAGGTTCCAAGGCAGGACAAGCCATGGATTAGATCGTAGTGCTATGCTCACCCACAAAGGGCCGCATTGTAACCCATGACATGAGATCGTTGGATAATTCAACTTCTATCCTATCCCCGCGTATCTAGCAATATCCCCAGACGTCCGGCAGCTACAATCGTACAAACATTTCAAGTAAACATAAACCATAAATGACCTCGCCCAACCATCCAAATCCCAAATCCCAGCCCAACCACAACCATATCAGCCAAACCCGAGCCCCGTGACATCAATGGTCTCTTAGCTCAGTTGGTTAGAGCGTCGTGCTAATAGCTTCTCTCCGAAGCCAGTAACGCGAAGGCCAGAGGTTCGAGCCCTCTATGGACCAGCGATTCTTTTTGCCGCCAATCATCACACCCATGATCTAGTATGCGATTTTTTTTTTTCGTGGTGGTGAGTCAGTGTCTACGCTAATTTTTTATGCGCAGGGTTTGTCGCTTGGTTTTGTGCGAGAGAAATATAGAACATAACTCAGGGTTTGACGGAACGGGCAGGTTGCTTCGTGATGACAGGCATTGTCAGATCTGCCGGGGGCAAGGGGATCAGATCTGACCGATTCGATTCGATTTTGTGAGCATAGGGTTGCTTACGGCTGGGGCACCCTGCCGGCCTTGAATACGATACCTCGGCTCCAAGGACTCTACGATAAACTAGGTTTGAAAATTTTTCCAAAAAAAAATCCATGAACGAAAATTTTCGATTCAGGGTTACAAACACCAGGATTATAGCAGCATTCGATGTGTTGGAGTCCCGAATGTTGGATATTTGTTACCAGCAACACAGAACCAATGGCAGCCTGTTTGGATTACAATATTCCTCCACTGGACGATGCTCAATGTAACAAGAGACCTCACTGCTGGTTGGGTAGCACGTTGATACAGTTGGATTGTTGCTTCCAAGCTATGTAAAGAGTTAGCATCTCCTTCCAGGCTGTAAAACCGTTGGCCGTTGAATTAATTTCCTGTGCCTGGATGTTTCGGGCAGTGCGCAGTGCAGTACACGAGTAAGATCACGTTTGAAGCGCCAACTTTAGGAAATTGTTATCACCATGACGTCGACAGGATCAGGGATATATATATATTTATACTTATACATATGTCGAGTAATGGTGAGATAAGAATTTGGAAATATCGCACCTCGGTCATACCAGCGCGACGGTACACCGCTTGGACTTGGGAATTAAAGGGTAAGCTTAGTTAGTATCCAAGTTGTCTCTGAAAAGATAGACGTAAAATTTAAACCTAGTAGATATGTGCAGGGGATGAGCTTGGAGATTTGCAATGCTAGCTTACAATTGCAGCATCAATCATACCTTCCACCACCTCGCGAGTCATAGTTTTCCTGAGTACATTAGGTACATCTTCAATCCCTACGAGTACTGGGTATTTTGAATTGTTATTTGCGAGAGAGTAAGACAAGTCCGCAAAATTGGCAATGTTGGGTTGGGTTCAATATCAAGTTGGTTCAATGGAAGTACCCGCCGTACAGTATAATCCGTAGTCGCCCGCAACACGAAAGCAGCATTCGATCCGCCATATATAATTTCGATTGACTCGGTTCAAACTACCTAAATAAGCATAAAAGAACGTCTAGTTTCGAGGCTAACTAAATAACACCAATCTCCGTTCTAGGACAGGTATAGAATTATGATCGAACCTACAGCTTTGACTAGAATGAGAGGGCTGGCCATGGGGCGAGCCTTGGATTGTTGCATATTTACACGGCAACGATATTGAAGTCATCGAGGTAAATCACCTTCTCATCCATGCCACTCGACAGCCCTCGCAGCAAACTGACCTTTACATATGTTAGGTCAGATAAAGCTCTGAAGCTCCCAGTCGCGAGTGTCCATACTGAGGGCATATTTCTACCGCTCAAGTTTATTACTTCCTCGCCATTGGTGATAGATACGATGATGTAGATTGCCTCCGTGGTGCCGGCGGGTGCCTCGATTTTATATCTAAAGGAGAGGTTGTACACTGCGTCGGTGCAAGTAGACAGCTTCTGGTCAAACATAACGGCGCTAAAACCGCGCCTCTTTCCGTGCGGGGGAAGGACGTTTTTCAAATCGCGTGTTCCAGGTGGTGGAAGAGTGGCCTTGAAAACGTGGTTTTGGTTGGCGGCTGCTTCATCTAGGACAACAGCATGACCCCCTTGAATCGTGTTCTTTGGTACTTTAACAATATACCATGGTTCGAGACTGTTTGGGGACTCGAAATCTCCATTTTGAAGCGCTGGTGTCGCAGTAGGACTGCAGGTGGTGGAGATTGTGACGGTTTTTGTGGTCGTGGTAGTTGTGGTCATGGTAGCTCTGGGAGCTTGTGGGCTGAATCCAGCTAGACAGGCGGATTTCACCTCATCGACCTGGTCGGCACACACACTACGAACTTCATCGAAAAAAGAAGCCTCGTCGCATTCCAGCAGGTGCGGCTTTAGCGTAGCTGCACCAAGCAAGGCACCCGTGGGAGAGACACTGACAGTAGTGGCTACTTCTTGTGTAGGCCCTTGGGTCGCTGAAGTCATGACAAAAGTCCAGAACGTCACGGTGGCCGTCAAGACCGATGGCTCCAATATTGGATTACAGATTAGATCCATAAATTTTCTATATAACCAAATTAACTTATGGCACCTCACCACTTTCAACAGAGAAGATCAGTGACTCGACAAGAGCCAAGGATCGTCAAATAGAACTTTTCTTTGAACGGTACACTGCAAGCAGAAATCAAAGTGCATGTTTCTCGAGGCAGCTGCCGGGGCAGCCAAGATATTTGAAACCAGTGTTACTAGAATTATCAAAAGCGGGTTCATGGTGATTTGTTTTTAAGAGTAATCGATGTCCCGGATTGTGTGTAGCTATCGCTATATCGTTATATTGGGTATCCTCAATTGTCTCGTAAATTTATAAACCGGAGCCGCTACGAGGCTATAATTGCAGTCTTATATACCATGACCACAACAGCATAGAAGTACAATACCGCACAGAATATCCATACTTTATGTCCTAATACTGTATCATGACCATTCCCAAATGCCCCCACACGAACAAATTTAAAGCCGACCTCGAAGGGAAGAATCTAGATATCGAAGCTCAAGCCATCGCCCTAAACGCAGGCAATCGATAAATTCTCGAACTGCAAGGGCATGCCTAGGCAGTGGTCATGATAATTATGAATTCTAGAGCCAGGTCAACTTCATCACGTGAATCATGATTAGTTCAATAATATTTGCAAATTAAGGGTCAACCGGTCTCGCACCTAGGACTAACTCTTAACTGGCGGCTAGCAAGTCTATATTTCGAACTAACACTTCCCGTTGTCAAAAAGCTTATATTCTAAATTATATCATCTTCTAGCTTACGCAACTTACCGCAATATCACAGCTATACACACTTAAGCACCTAGCTAGCTAGCTCCTGACTTATCGAGCTTGTTCCGGCAGAAAAAAATATTGTCTCGCAAAGGAGCCGGCCAGGTACCAGAAAATCCAAGCTCAGGCACTAAATCAGTTTGTTGCATTTAATATCGAGCTGCTTGAATATGCACCTACGGCACGGTATAATCCGGACTTGATATTATCGCATGCACGAAAGCGGACATTTCCGAAAACAGAGCCAATTGCAAGATTGGAAATTAAGTATGATCTAGATTCCGGTTTTACGGATTTTTGCCAACTTGTCGAACTGAAGACCTAACAGGTACCGTTATATATGATACACTGGCATGCTGTGTTGGTAGACTAGCTAAGCTCCGTTATAACCGAGTCCTTCGTAGCTAAACGTTTTGCAACTAACGCTAGCTAATAGCTAATCAAACTGCAATATACGAAGGGTCGCTCGGGATATAGCTAGCTCACCGGTACGGGCAACGTGTGCAACCGTGGTTGCATTTATGCCATGGGGATCCCCGAGAAACCTTTGGGTTTGAATCATTAATATCCCAGGGGGGAATAGCAAACTAAAATCTCAGACCATTATTTCCGAAGTTCAAAGACCCATGTTAATTAATGGAGACACACTATTGTCCCAGCACAAGGGTTCATTTTCGCAGTTGAAGAAAGAAAGAAAAAGGTCCGCCAACACGTTTGTTCGAAATTCAGCTGGTTCTTGTGGTGGCTTCAGCTGAGATCCAAGCACGATGCATCCGAGCTACGAAAAACTGCAACCCGGATCCCAGCACGATGCAGCTTCGTTTACTGAAGCAAGCGAGTCCATCCGATTGATGGGATCGGATCCAATGGCAACGACTGGCAAAGCTCCGCAAGACCCAATCATAATGAGTGTTCTATGCATTCTTTCGAGATCATATCACAGACGAATACGAGAGATTCCGATAAGTTCGACAATCACCTATCGCGAATTTCGGTATGTCAAAATCGCCGACCAGAGATTACATCATGATTCATGCAGGCGGATGGGGTCGCGCAGGTGGTTTAGGTTTCTCGTGCTTCATTTTGTCCCACGTTGGACCAAAAGAAAATGTTGGTCGAGTTTTTGCAGCTTTGCAAGTCGAAACGATGGGATGATCCCAGGCTGGACTGTGGCACTAAACTAAGTAGGTTGCCGCTAGAGGCTTGGCTACCCAGCGGGCTGGAGAGTTTGTGCGCCAACCAGGGCAAGTCGACGAATGAGAGGGCGAGTAGACCCACTGGTGGCCGACCGCTTTTGGAGGTTACCCGGAGTTGGGAAGGGTTGATTGGGTGGATTGGTTTGCCCCTTGTTCCTGACGCTAGTCCTCAGAGCCGTCGATGGGAAGGTTTTCGCACAAGAAGACACGCTTCCAGAAGGCGATATGAGGGAAACGGTGAAGCTGGCGGGTCATCGTTTCGTGAAACATGGAAGCGATGGTGTAGCAATCGAAAGATGCACATATGCACATACATTGAAGCATCACGGGATGCGATATTTGTGATTTTGTGATATTCGTGCGCGCTTGGTGAAGGTGGGAGGACCCCATGACACTTCTGAAGCTTTCCCGCAGGGTCGAACCGGGTTGGATGAATCCGTGCATGAAGCAGCGTCCTTTCTCATGTCGGCATCCCTTTTCTGACGAAATTTCCCGTTCTGTCGAAAACAAAGCCAGGAGGGCGGACGAAGTAGCGCGTACCCAGCACTCCATATGATGGTGGATTGATTGTCAATGTCCTCCTCCTTTCTCCTTCCTCGTCGACGTTCGAACTCGAATCCGCATAGCAAAGAGAGGGAGGGTGCATAGTGCATACAGACTAACTAGCCTACTAACCAACAGATCTCGAGATCGAGAACAAGTTAGCTAGTAGCGATAGTAGCTGTGTGTCGTTCATTCCTTCAGCCCCCCCTTCTCCCTCTGCTTC